GAGTATATTGGGGAAACGGCAAGACCCCTCCATGTAAGAATCAAAGAGCACTTAAATGGCATGCATAGATCAAGAGAGTCTACCGCCCTAGGAGCCCACCGCATTCAAAACCATAACGGAGATGTTTTTGAGGTCACCGTGGAGGTCGTGGCCCAGGAGTCACAATTGTGTGCGCGGAAATCCCTCGAGGCATTTTGGATACAGGTCACCAACCCAAAAAGGAACCGGAGGGAGGAATGCCTCACAATTACGCGGGAACTGAGGCCCTATATAAGGCTAGCCTTCCCACAGTGATTTGACGAAGACCTAGCCCAGCTGACTCTGGTCCCACTCTCGGTTGCTGGGTGATTGCGAGAATCCACGAAGTTACGGTGAGTAGCTCCTTTTTTAGATTACGTGCGCGCCCTGGGGGGTCTCGAACTTCAGTAGGGCTGCAGAGGCGTTTGATCGGATATGCGCAAATTGTTTTGATCTTTTCAGGCTCTGAGGAAGGCGACATCGCCGAAACGTCAGCCAATAAAGTTTTATAACAACCTCGTGAGAGTTGAATACAGAATTATACAAAGCTCAATCATGCCGAGGTTCATTGAAGTCCGTACGTGGAGGTAATCAATATATGTATGTGATAAAATAGTCTCGAAGTAAACCGAACTGTATCAAAGTCAATCAATCAAAAGTAAAACACACATAAGAATGCTCATAGATTAATGCCTACGCCATCTATGTAAACGAAATAATAGGGTGTCCGGAAAGTTTTGACAAATTCAGTCCGTTTTTTCAACACAAAATAATTACAGCATTAAACTCAGATCAGTAATCACGATGACGGCGCTTCTTAGAAACAATGTCTCTCCATCCACCGGACAAGGCGTTGATGCCATTCCTCCAATATGAAGAAAGCAGTGACGCAATTCATTCATCTACCACCCACCTGACTTCTCGACAATTGGTGGATTTTTTCCCTGGAGAGCAGGGATATGAGCTTCTGGAAGTATGGCAGTCGTATGGGCTCAGGTCAGGTGATTATGTGAGCAGCGGGGTAGTCAGGTTAAACCAAGACTTTTCGGCTCATCCACTGGCCACCTTGCATGGGGTGATCGAGCGTCATCCATCACAACCGAAAATTTCCTTGTAATCGGTGTGAAATGGGGGCTTGAAACATCATCTCTCTCAGATGATAACAGAATACTCTTGCGTTCCTCGCTGAACACTCCGGTAGGATCTCCTAGTGAAACATCCGGTTTAGCAGAGGAACAATGAGCTCGCGTCTTTCTTGGTGTGAGCGCCTCCCTTCATAGCGGACTGTGGCCTTACGTCTGCTGTCAGGCATTGCGATTTCCTGAGTGGATTTTTATATGACATTTACTTTTTATCCGGAGCAATGATGAATTCGGTTGATGTCGCCGTTCGCTTACAGTCGAGGAGCTTCTGACACACACTGACCTACACTCGAGCTCCTGCTCAGCTAAGGAGAGTAGGATACTTGCAAAGAGTCCTCCTTTGAAAGTGACTTCGCATAGAAAGTCGTGAATGATGGATTGGAGAATAGAGATGGTATTTTCCATTTCTTGAGATTATGAGGAGGAATTCTCTCACGGGAGGCCGGAACAGTGCCGGTATTTGAGGACGGTGGATTTGCTTCTACGAACTTCGTCGAAGCAAATCTCTTCTTAAGAGGAAACGATCGTGCCATTTATGGTACGTGAGAAGAGAGGATCACTGCTGCCAATTAGTCACCATATCAAATTCCATGCCTGAATGTCGAAGCGATCAGTTTCGTATTGATGAAGTAGAAAGCTCCGGTAGTCATATCGATGGCACATCTTCGGTCGACGATTACTTCGTACAATCATATCAAAAACCGTTCAGCTATTGTATTGCTCTATCAACAATGCCCTTTTCCCTACGACCGAATTTATAGTCCTCCTTTAGCGCGTTCGCGAGTGATATGCTTTCAAAGTTAAGGGGTGAAATTTTCTCAAAACATTCCGGAAACCCTAATACAACCTAAGTGAAAAGAAACATATGGCTTGTTACGCTTTCCAGCCTCAAGTGGTCGAGCCGAGTTGCTATCTCATACAAGGAGTCAAGGGGGTCCGGTCCGTGTTCGGGCTTATAGGTCCAGTCGCCCACCGCATTGACCTCCTCGACGACAAACGGCGTCTTTCTGTCAGCAAAGCGGAGTAGACAGGTGGGCTTGGTAGTCGACAGCTGCTACGGTGACGGGGCGAACCATGGGCCGTGTAGTACTGCACATTTCGCCACATATTCGATGCCGCACTAGGAACCGTACACACCCTACCAAGCGAGCTTGAATAGGTTCAGATGGACGTCGCAACAAGTCTGATCTTAAGTGCGAAAATATCATGATCTCCAACTACCCTCCGTATCAGACAGAGCTCAGAAGGAGGGAGAGATGTTGGACGCAACAATGAACGTTGCACCAAATCTAGTGTCCATCTTATGACAAAATTCATTTATGTTGATGAGATGGCCTGACGTTGCGCATATTATATATATATTGTTAAAGGCACAGTTCACGATAAAATGGTTTCTGAGA